GTGATGTCCTAAGTCAGGGACTGTCCGTTCAGCGCAGGTCAACCCCAGGAAATGAAAGGTTCCCTAGGAGTTTTAGGGGGTGACATGGAAGCCCAGGGAGGATAATCCACTCTGGTGACTATCAGGTGGAACGGTACAGCGAGTCTGTCTACGAGAGACCTTAAGGAGGGGATCAAGTTATGTTTCCACGGGCATTGACTGCACTGTAGAATCCTGACCCAGGTTGTCTACAGGGAGGAGGAGGGACATTTGACCCCAAAGCCCTGTTTTCCTCAGTGCCTCCCAGGAAATGAAGACTGGAGAGTCCAGGAGCAGTGAGACGGCTCCTCCTGTAAAAGTTCCTGCTATGCAAACCTGGCTATCTGAGTTTGATCCCTGCAACCCATGGAAAGGAAGCTGGAGAGAACCAACCCTACAAAGTTGTCCTCTGACCTCCACAAATACTCTATGACACACATCCACCTCCCACACACACACACACACACACACACACACACACACACACACACTAAAGCAAACCTAAATGTGGCATAGGTCACATTCAACTGGAGAATCAAAGATCCCATGGCAAATATGTCGTTTTCAAATGGGACTTGGAGAACAAGTATAAAGGAGTGGGTATATAAGGAAGGAAGGATCTTCAGTATGGTAGATCCCACAGTGTGTAAACGAAGTACAGGAGTCCAGGCTATACAAGGGAGCCAAGGACAAACAACCCAGGGCCCCAAAGGACAGGCCACGGAGGTTACATTGAATAAAGCCAGGGAGCTAAGAAGAAAACCCTGATTGACCAGTCAGAGAAAATACAGGATCCAGACAGAGCTGCCACAGTAGCAGCGTAGGGTGCAGGGAGCAGGGAGCGGGCATGGGATCGGGGAGCAGGCACAGGAGCAGGCTGGAAGAGAAGTGCGTGCAAGAGCTATAGGAGGCACCAGCAGCGGTGGTACACCCCTGTGATCCCATGCTTAGGAGACTAAAGCACGAAGATCCTGTCAGATAAGAGAAGGAAAGAAAGAGAGGGTGCCAGGCGGTGGTGGTGCATGCCTTTTATCCCAGCACTCGGGAGGCAGAGGCAGGCGGATCTCTGTGGGTTCAAGGCCAGTCTGGTCTACAGAGTGAGTTCTAAGACTGCCAGGGCTATACAGAGAAACCCTGTCTCGAATAACCAAAAAAAAAAAAAAAAAAAAAAAAGGAAGGAAGGAAGGGAGGGAGGGAGGGAGGGAGGGAGGAAGGAAGGAGGAAAAAAGGAGAGGGTGACATAGAGCTTGGGTGGTGAGGAGGTACAATCTGGAAACAGTTGGGATGGGAGAATTGTTCTCGTGAAGCTGAGATGTCAGGTCTTCTGGAGGTGATGCAGAGAAACGGAAAACAATAACCAGGGTAGAGACTTGACCAGGACTGCTGTGGGCAGAGGGACAACAGAAAGAGGAGTTGCCAGTGCCTACCTGGAGATAGGGAACCCAGGCTCAGGAGAGGGGCTCAAGGGACAGAGAGCATCCTGGTGAATAGTTTAGCTGGTGGAAGGTGCCACTGCCCATCAAGAGACACCCGAGAAAGTAAGAGGGAGCTAGACGAGGGACCTTGAGAGTGTACCAGGACAGTGTCAGGAATGTCCAGCCGTGTCAGAGGCCACAGGAGTCCAGAGGTTGGGAAAGGAAGTGGTTACTGGATATATCGGTATGGCTGTCATGCTCTGACTCTCACAAAAGGAGCCTCAGGGACAGAAGTCAGGCTGCAAATAGGTTAAGGGGCAAGGAAAAAGGCCTTGGAGGCAGCTGAGAGAACCAGGGAAAGGGGGAAGATGAGAGGAAAGGAGGATGGTCTGGGACCCTGCAGAGATGAGGGAGTGATACCCAGAGGCTCAGTGTGGAAACCTTTGGAGACTCAAAAGCAGATTTAAGAGACCCAGCTAAGGAGCAGGAAGTCGCAGTACACCTAACTCTGTAACCCCGGGAGATGGAGGCAGGAAGCATCTTGAGGCCCGCTTTGACTATACAGAGTGAGTTCATCAGCCTGGGTTATTTATTGTCTCGATAAATAGTAAATAAATAGTATCTTGGTAAGATGTCAAGACCTAGCCAGGTGGTGGTGGTGCACACTTCTAATCCCAGCACTTGGAGGCAGAGGCAGGCAGATCTCTGAGTTCCAGGCCAGCCTGGTCTACCGAGGAATTCCAGAAGAGCCAGCGCTACACAGAGAAACCCTGTCTTGAAAAACCAAACCAAAAAAGGAAAAGAAGCCAAGACCTGTGATCTTGTCAACCCTGCCAAACTGGAAAGGAGGGAGCAGGGAAGAAATGTCAGGGCTCACTTCCCGGTCCCTTTCTGGGGTTCCGATGCACTGCCTGGGGGAGAGCAGGGCCTTTGTCTGTACGAGGCTGCAGTCCTAGTTGGGGAGGATCTGTGTGTACCCCAAACCCAGCCCAGGCTGCAATCATGTTTCCTCAGCCACTTTCCTTTCTCTGGGATGGTTCTTCAGTGGACCGAATGACAGAATCCCCAAAGATCCGTCCTAACCTTCAAGAACCTGTGATGTGGTAAGAAAAGGGGCTCTTGCAGGGTCAATGGTACGCACTTGCAGACCCTGCACTTAAAGATGCAGAGGCAGGAGGATCACATCAAGTTTCAGCTCAGCCTAGTCTAGGGCTACACTGTAAGACCCTGTCTCAAAACAGTGGGAAACAATGAGTTTGAATTAAAGACAAACATCCTTAGGAGAATAGAAGCTTCCAGAACAGGAGGCAGGGAATGCCTAGGGTGGTTAAAATTTGGACTGCAGGGACTCTCCCCTAGCGCCTCGGGGGAAAAGCAGAGCCCCTACGCAGTCATTTTGTCCTGTTCAAGCGTGAATGAAAGAAAAAAAAAAAACCCTGCTTTAAAACTCCACCCCTGTACCCCTGTGCTCATTTGCTGTGTAGATCGGAAACCAAACCCTGCTCCCTACTCTGTAAAATGTCTAGAAGTTTCCAGGGACGCCTGGAGCTCTTAGAGTCTTCAAGTTAAACCTTGCTCCGAGGGGAATTCTAGGTCTGGCCAAAAGGCGTCAGGTGGAGAACGAGCCCTTCCAGTGGGGGGAGGGGAGCCAAGCTCGCCGGTCTTTCCTGCCCCTCCCCTCAGAGTCGGCGCTCCTAGGGCTGCGCTCTCGGCCTCCAGATTCAGGCAGGTTAAAAGGCACAAAGCCCATTACACTGCTCCACAAATAGGTACCTGCCTCACCAGCTTCTCCCCGCAGTCACCCTCTTTTCAGGGTGTTTCTGCCAGCTCCCCAAATTGGCCTTTTCCTTTCCCATTTTCATTCCCGGGGGGAGGGGGGCACAGGAGCGGACAGATATTCTGGAGCCCCAGAAGGATGGAAGGCACTCTCCTACCTCTCCCCAGGCCACAGCTGGAGGGGGGAGGGGAGGTCAGCAGGGTTCATAAAGGCCAGATGTTGAAGAAAAAGAGAGGCAAAGTGTCCACCCACCCCATCCCTCCCCTCCCCACCCCCAGGGAAAGGGGGACAGCTCTAAGAACATTTCTGAGGTCCAAAAGAGTTTTTCTTAAGGATTTGCGCTATGCAAGCCATAAACTTTCTACAGGGTGTCTTCACAGAAAAGGAGTGTCCTTCCCAGTGTCACATGGGAACTGTTCTTCCTTGCCCAATTTTGGGGATGAGGGGTGTTACTTGCGTAGACACAAGGGCCACTAGGACCCTCAGTAACCGGCAGTTCTCAAAGTCCTGCCACCCTGCGTCCATCACCCACCCCTGAACCCGATCTCCCAGGGTAGAGAAAGTCACTCCACTCTTCTTGACTCAAGGAGTCCTAACTGGGGCAGGGTCCAGGCCTAGTTCCTCTCCGCAAAACAGAACCTCTGACCCCAAACCTAATCCCCAGGCCCTGCCCCCTTCTGATCCATCAGATCCCTGACAACTCCCAAAATGCCTGAGGCTAAAAAAAAAAAAAACACCATTTAAGGTAGCCCGCCCAGCCCAGGTTCCCTCCAAGCCCTCAGGCCAAAGGCCTTCCATTTGCCTTTCTGCAGCCAGTCTTGCACCCACCTCGTTAAAGGGCTGAGTCAGGATGGTCTGAAGGATGGATTCAGAGTAGCCTTCTAACTCCAAACCATCCCATCCATAAACTGGGGGAGAGTACCTCGAAAGACAACTTGTTTGGTCTGATTTTATTGATTTCTTCCACCTTCCATTATCTTCCCGGGTAATTTTTGGCCCGTTCCCCAGGATAAACCAGCCTCGGGGCCACACAACTAGGCCCTCTGCCCTCCTCGTTAAGGGAGGAGGGAAGTGGGGCTGGAGGACTCTTCCACTCATCAAACCTTATGGCAAGGGAAACCCCAAAAACTGGACAATAGGGTAAAGTTGCTCAACCCTGCTGGTTGAGACTGAGGCTCTCATCAATGGGAGAATCACCTGAACTTGGGGAGAGGAAGGACTAGGAATGGAAAAGGGGGTGTAAAGGGTTAAAGGTCTGAACCGTGGGGGGTAGAGGATGCCCCCAGGGAGTTGTCAATCATTTTCCCACCCCACCGCAACCCCACGTCCCTGAACTGGCCCTCAAACGCGGAAACAACCGGTTTGTCCATCACCAAGGTCCTTCCCTCCGTCCCTTTCTTTTGGTCTCTGGGCAGTCGCCGCCTTGCTCCCCTAGGGTATAAAGACCCTGGTCGCCCGCTGAGAGGGCAGGGATGGAGCTGGTCATGCAGCCTTCTACAGTTAAGGCTTTTCCGGAAGCCATCCCTTGGTTCATTGGTCGAGATGAGGGACTATCTATCACCCCTCACCCCGACCTCTCAGGTGCTTGAAGATCACTGTCATTTGCGGTTCCTCGGCACACAGTTCATAAAACGCAAAAAGACAGACAAATCTGAGAATCAAGGCTCCCTCCTGGAGTCCTCAGTCTGCCCGGGACCCCAACCCGGAGAAGAGGTCGAAACTCAGGGTTCTTCCAAGTTGACCCACCAGGATTTGATGCCCCGGGGCTCGGGGACAGCTGGTCCTCCCATTTACCACCTCCACAGCGGGTGGTCAGGCTGAGGCTTTTTGTCTCCCTGCAGGCCCTCCTCCACCACCAGGGCTGGTGGACAGGGAAAGCAGTCGAGAAGGCTAAAGGTGCTCGAGGTGGGGAGCGTCGGGACGGGCCGGCGGGGCTGCACTCCGCGCGGAGGCGGCGCTGGCCGCCGGCGTTTCTTGGCTGCTACCCGGGCTTTGGCTGCCGGCCGCTCGGGCCCTCGGCGCAAACTTGGAGTGTCCAGGGCGAAGCCCTTCGCATAACACCAAAGTTTCGAGCGGCGGATCAGGCGATTGAAATGTTCCTGGCGGAGATCACTGGGCGCGTCCGGCGCTGCGTCTGCCGTCGAAGGGCTGAGCGCGGGTGCCTCGGGCGCGGCCGGGGCAGGGTCTCCACCCGCTGCAGCCGCCGAGGCCGGCACAGGCTGCTCCGGAGACGCAGGTTCCGGGGAGAGGCCCGCAGGTGGCGGAGGAGGCTGGGAGCTGGGCTCCTGAGGCGGACTGCTAGCTGCATCAGGCTGGAACTCCAGACTCGGGGCTGGCCTGGGCGGGGACCAGGCGGAGCTGGTCGGAGAATCCCGAGGACGCCGGGGAGCAGGACAGCAACCGGGAGGTGCGCAGGAACCAGAACCGAAGTGCGGGAAGCCGCCTCCGCCCTCTTCCTCTTCTTCGCCGCCTGGGCACACCGCGATTCCTGCATCCTCGCGGGCCGCGGAGCTCACGTCGCTCGGTCGCCCGGCCTGTCCCCCGAGGTGCTTCAGACTGTCCACGGCCCTGCCGCCGGTGCATGGCGAGGCCGGGGGGCCTAGCAGCACCGGGGTCCGCGGCGCCAGCTCTCCAGGCCCTAGGCCCAAGGCGGACGGCCGGGGTTTGGCAAGGGCGCAGAAGGCGAGGGCACGCAGGCACAGCGGGGAGAACTCCGGGGTCCCCCGACGCGGTTTCCGGGGCGTGGGCGAGCAGGGAGACCCCCGCGGGGACGCGGGCACTGCCAGGCGGGGAGGAGGACACAGAGTCTCCATGGAGCAGCCTTGGGGGTCGCCCACTGCGGGGGCCCTGGTCCCAACGGCGGGATGCCCCGGCGGCCCGAAGAGCCCGCGGGCCAGGGGAACATCGCCCCCCGTCGACGGGGAGGTCTGTGCTCACGGGCGCCCCGGGCCAGCCACCGGGGGCCCGCGGCGGTGCTCCGGCTCCCTCCGCGGTCTCGTCACGCGGCCCTCGCGGCAGCCGGACTCCTGGGTCCCCGCGCGTCCCCGGCGCAATCGGTCGCGCTTCCTGCCGCCGCGTTCGCGGCGCGCCCCCCTCAACGCTGAGGCGGGGGCAAACAAAGCGGCCGGCACTCACAGCCGGCGGGAAGGACCCCGGCCCGGCGCCCGGTGCCCGGGCCCAGCGGCGGGGAGGGCGCCTTCCGCCCTCTCGGCTTCTTTCTTCCCCGCTGGCTCCGGAGACCGCGTTATAGAGAACTGCCCCCTCGCTGCCCCAATACCAGCGCCGCGGCTGCGAGCCCGCCTCTGATTGGTCGCTGCTGATGTGACGTCACGCAGACCCCACCCCTCGGGCGGCACGGCCCCCGTCCCCATTCCGCACACAGACACACACACGTGGACCCTGAGCTGCTGGACTGGAAGTCAGGGATGTGGGGCGCGTGGGTCTGGGCGCGCGCGGGTGGAAGTGCGAGGGGCCAGACGCAGAGCTCCTGGTGTCCTGCTGGCATCCTGGAATCATTTTACCTGGTCGCAGATCAGGCCACTCGTTTACCCGGTAGCAGACTCGGGTTTTCCGTATCTGTGAAATGAAAAGTTTGTTTCTACCCTTTGGTAGCTAGATGGAACTCCGTGAATTCACAGCGACAAGCTCAAAAGCAAGGTGGAAGGGAAGGATGAAACCAAGCGTCGATGGCTTACGAGCTTGGCACAGCAAGGGATCGCCCTTAAGGGTGTCCTGTGGGCTTTGCTCTGGGTTGGGGGGGCCTAGAACAGGGCCTGGCACCCAGTGAACTCAAAACAAAAACCACTTGTAGAGTGACTGGTTAGGAATTCGCTACGTATGTGCAAGATGTGTAAAAGAAAAAATTAAATTTGGAGGAGTGGAATCTCATCAGACCCACGGAAGACATTTAGCTGGCTTTCTCGGTGCCTGTTCCCTTATCTCCGTGAAGTATGGAAGTACCCCACTTCTTAACGGAATTCCAACGCGTTGGCACAGTTGAGAGCCTCTAAATGGTAGGATTCGACCCTCTGAGTCCCGAGCTGCCCCGAATGGGTAGAAAGGGCCAAAGGAGGCGCATAGACTCTACTTTCCTCCCACAAGAGAAAAGTGAATTCCCACGACATCCCTGATAATGCATACACTCTCACGTCTCTCCTTCAGCTCCTACACAGCCTACTCGGTCTGTGGAAGAGGCTTGTTCCTTCATGCTGATCTCTCCTCAGGGTCTAGAATGAGCTAGTATCCTATCTGCACAGAAGGAGCCCGGCAGCCGGTAGAATTCAGTCTTGATCCCTGCTATATTCCCACTGCCCAAACCGCACAATAACCGCTTGTGAATAAATGGGTCTATGCAGGAGTCCTTGGGCTGTTCATCATTATTGTAACACCGGGTTGGTAGATACAGTTGCTTCTCATCTGCAAGAGACTGATGTAGGAGTCAGGGAGAGAATGAGATTGAGGGTTACAGTATCGCTTCCTGGCCAGGGCAAAGGAAAGTCCTCCCTCCCTCCTTCCCTCCCTCCCTCCCTCCCTCCCTGATAGGGTCTCACCACAGTAGCCTACGCTGGCTTAGAACTCCGTCCTCTTGCCTCAGCTTTCTGAGCGCTACACTTACTGGCATGCACAATCGGTTTTCCTGCGATAGAACAGCTTGCATCCTCATCTTCCCAGGGACAATAGGGACACTGTTTTTCTAAATCACATCTAATAACGCCTGGGAGGAAGGACTAAGGATGGATTCCCCCCCCACACACACACACACATACACACACCCTGCCCTTGGCGGAGGCCCAAGGTAAAGCCCAAAGTGGGACTTGTGGGAAGAGAGGGTTCGATGTTCTGATCCCCAACTCCCCAATCCCAAGTGTCCTTTATGAGACGGAGCCCTAGCTCTGGGACAGCTGTCATGAAGTGGGTAGATCCCGGGGTCCTGCCAGATCACCTGGTTGATCTGGATCTAACCTCCGAGGTTCCTTTGCCCCTAGAGCCCTGGCCCCACCTTAAATACACACAGGCACACGCTGGAGGAAGGGAACGGAAGGCGAGTGATCTGCACTAGAGAGAGGGTGGGAAGCCTCAGCAGGGCTTTTCGGTTTTGTGGGAGAGACACCTAGTTCCCTGCTCTCCTCTGGAGACAAACACCAGAGAGCGGCCTCGGCCCTCTGCGGGAGCCCGGCCTGGGAGGCTCCTTTCTTTTTCTCTGGAGTCTCTGGAATTTGCAGCCCCGCTTGCAGCCCCGCACCCAGCATGGTGTGAATCTCTGTGTGAATAAATCAGCGACTATTATGTAACAATGCAATTCACAGGCCTCCTTCATCTCCCATTCCAAAAACTGCCAGCTCCCCAAACCCGAGTTTAGGGCTTTAATGAAAGGGGTCAGTGTGGTTAAAGAGTCCTGCCCTGGAGGAGAAATCCCTTCCACCTTCCCTTCCCGGAAGACATGGAAGCAGTTAAAACAAAACAAAACAAAACAAAAAAACACTGGGGGTAATGCCACAACTGGAAAAAAAACTGGCGTCAAGGCGCCATCTTTTTTCAGAAGACTCAGCGGGGCAGCTCTGCAGCCCTGAGCAGTATTGCCTAGATACTCTCTGTTTCACTGTCCCTCTCAGTAAAATGGGTCAACTGTGTTTTTCCCAGAGCATCAACAGCAGAGCTGAACACCAAGTTCAGCTGAACATCACCAATTCCTCACGTCGGCTGGCCCGGCTGCTGCACTTCCAAGAGTGAACAGTAGAGGGCACTCGACTCACCCTCCGCCTTCTACGGGAGGGGTGGCTGCTTCCCCCACAGAGACAAACTGAGCTCTGGGTCCTACTTTACACCTCTCCAGAAGAAGAGACAAAAGAAATAAGAAGAGCCCTCGGGGGCTAACCCAGAAGGCTTTCTTTCTTGGCTGCCCATCTAGTTTTTTTAATAGCTACTCATTTTGTTTGGTGTGCGGGTGCTAACCCGCATGTGTGTCTGTGTACCACACATATGCCTGGCGCCTTTGGAGGCTAGAAGAGGGAGTTGGGTCCCCTGAAACTGGAGTCACCATACCAATTCTGGGAACCGAACCCAAGATCTTCGAAAGAGGGACAAGTACTCTTAACCTCTGAGCCATCTCTCCATCCCCCAGCCCATCTAGTTCTTAACAAGGCAGAAGGAGCCCTGTTTAAGGTTTTTGAAGGTAGGGCCTCCCTGGCTAAGCTTATTCCTGAGAAGGGGGACACGGAGTACCCTTTCCAGCCCCATAGAACTTCCCAGCGTTTTGTGTTTCCTAATCTCTAAAAATTCTGCTGTTTATTGCCCATAGCTACTTTCTAGTTTAGATATGATTAGATGGGATTATAGATGTCTATCAATCCTATAGCCCATGCTGACTATGAACTCCAGATCCTCCTGGCCTGAGCCTCCCGAAGGATTATAGTTTTCTACCAGCAGGTAAGCCCTATTTTTTAAAAACTTGTTTTGCTGGGTGGTGGTGGCGCATGCCTTTAATCCCAGTACTCGGGAGGCAGAGGTAGGCGGATCCCTGTGAGTTCGAGGCCAGCCTGGTCTACAAGAGCTAGTTCCAGGACAGGCATCAAAACCACAGAGAAACCTTGTCTTGAAAAAACAGTTTTTTTGTTTCACTTTTTGTTTGATTTTGTTTTTTTGAGACAAGGCTTCTCTGTGTAGTTTTGGAGTCTATACTGGAACTCACTCTGTAGCCCAGGCTGACCTCAACTCATAGAGATCCTCCTACCTCTGCCTCCTGAGTGCTGGGATTAAAGGCATGCACCACCACTACCTGGCTGTTGTTTTTTGAGACAGGGTTTCTCTGTGTAGCTTTGGCTGTCCTGGAACTCACTCTATAGACCAGGCTGACCTCAAACTCACAGATGTTTGCCTGCCTCTGCCTCCCAAATGCTAGGATTAAAGGCATGCACCACCATCTCCCGACTTAAATTCATTTTTGTGCGCATGTATGGGAGTGCACCTGTTGTTCCTATATACACAAATACACTTGAATGTGTGTGCACATATTAAAGTTGGAGGTCAGCCTTCAGCGTTGTTCCTCAGGCTAGGATAACTGGCCATTGAGGTCCTGAGTCAGCCTGTCCTTACCTCTCTACATAAGGATTATAAACCCAAGCTACCATGCTCGCTCTTTACATTTTTATTATTTATTTATTTATTTATTTATTTATTTATATTTTTGGTTTTTTGAGACAGGGTTTCTCTGTGGTTTTGGAGCCTGTCCTGGAACTAGCTCTTGTAGACCAGGCTGGTCTCGAACTCACAGAGATCCGCCTGCCTCTGCCTCCCAAGTGCTGGGATTAAAGGCGTACGCCACCACCGCCCGGCTACATTTTTATTTTTGGTTTTTTGGTGGTTTTTTTTTTCTTTTCTGGTTTTCTGAGACTGGGTCCCCTTTATAACAACCCTGGCTGTCCCGAAACTCGCCTCAGACTCAGAGATCCGCCTGCCTCTGCCTAGAGTGCTAGAACTGAAGGCGTGCGCCACCACCACCTGACTAGTCTTTATTCTTACGTATTATTATTGTGTCCATATGTGCATGCATGGCAACAGGCACATGCGCTGAAGGCAGAGGAGAACTTTGCAGAGCTGCTCTCTGCATTGACCTCTGTGCAGTCCCAGGGATCACACTGGGCCCTCAGGCTTGTCTGAAAAGCACTTTGCTAGCTCAGTCTTCTCTCCAGGTGGTAGATATGAGGTTTCTAATGTATAAGCCCATACTTAACCCAGCATCTAATTGAACATTTTTTTAAAATTTTGTTTTGTTTGTTTGAAACAGGATCTCATTATATAATCCTGGCTGACTTGGAACTTCCTTTGTAGACCAGGTTGGCCTTGAACTCATGGAGATCTCTGCTTACCTCTGCCTCCTTCCTTGGTGCTGGTTTTAAAGGCATGTGACATTGTGCTGAGCTTAATTAAACATTTTAAAGTAAACTTACATCTTCAC